ACAGTGAGATGAAAACTGTGAAGGATCCAGATATTTCTTTATGTAAATGAGTGAGTTTGGTTTTCAAAAAAGACCGTGAATTGATCTAAAGACAAAGGGAAACATGCATTGTGCGGGTTTACAAGGCACTCCTGATGACTTTAAACAAACACGCCCCATACCAGTGACACGCCACTCTCTGGAGGGGACACAGTAAGCCTGGTGTCCAAGAGGCGGAACTTCCCCTTCTCCACCTCTGCACATCCAGTCTCGTTTTTAAAAGTGCTACAACTGAAGGACTTTTGGTACAACTGCTATCCGTGGAAGAAGTTGGACCAATTACCAATTACGATCACAAGGAACAACAATGAACAACATGTGTAGACGCTGACTATGGGAAACTTGGAGGAGGTCTGGCTGGAAGTGGAAAACCAACTCAAAATCTCTGCTGTATTTGCACATAGTAACTTGGGCTTACAACTTTGGGACCCTCTTCGAAGATTTATGCATTTCTTTAATTCAACCTCTTCTGGACTTCCTGGACCATCTCATGTTTCCTTCTCGTAGGAGTGGGAGAGTGAAATGCTACCCCCTGACGCAGGACATGTTTAGCCCGGCAAAAAGTGAGTGCCGTTTCCATGGAGAGAGCCAAAGAAACATGGCGGCAAGGAGCTACAACGTAAAGGCGCTGCTCCTATGTCTTTGGCGCGAGTGAAATCGAGGCCGGCTAGCGTAGCACTCGTAGCTCCGCCTTGGAATTCCTTTTTGTGTTTCTTCTCGTGCGTGGCCGGGAGGAGCGTGTCTGAGACGAAAGGTGAATAACAGCCGCTTTACTGCACTTTCCACTTTGGTCAGCTTGATTGTTGTTGAAGCGTACAGCAGAGGTGCCGTAAAGTGTCATAAATTCCTCTGCTCTGAAGCTCTGGCCCTGGGCTTCAGCCCCTGGACCAATGGTGTTTGACTCTGTGGGTGTGCTGTGGAGCTATGTGATTGCTGTACGTTGTTCTCATGGCCCACTCTGTTCTCAGGCTCACATACAAACAAAGAAAGATGTTTGTGTGCGCGGCTCCCCCTTCACTGTGGGCTCAAATGTACTCCTGTTGGAACAAAGTCACTCAACACGGCGGTGCTGTCTGCAGTGGAAACTTCTCTACAGCACTTGTGTGAATTGTGTGAACGCATGTGTTGATGTTTTGTCTCCGGCATGTTGGGGCATGTTTTCTGAGGCACAATGATTTTAAAGTAAGCTCCTTTCATCGGTGATGGTGCCCCCATGCCCCATAGCATGCTGGGAATGGGGTGTTTATTTTTTTGTTATATTGGCTTGGAAGTGCTTGTGAATTCTTCCTAGTGTTAAAGTAGAGAACTAATCAGGGCTATACCTTCCGCAACAGCAGCTACATTTGCGTCTCGATGAACCATAATCAAATCAGGGATCACAATCAAAGCAGGCATTTCTCCTACAGACTGTCTCCAATGAGAAGAATACGCCTCTGATCACCATTAGGACAAAGACAACACCAGACAATGGCAGGGAAATCGAATCCACTGAAAACCCAATTAGGTTTCGTCTGCAAACAACATTGATTTGTCATAACAATCCTAAAGCAACAACCTCTTGACCAATCAGACATTGATGTAATCAGCTGGGGAGCTCAGGAGGCACAGTTAATGACATTTTCCTCAGTGGAGTCCAGACTGAGATGAGCTGTTCAGGAGGGGGCTATGGTCATATGACTCGTGTGCAGAGGCTGAAGGTGATAATCAGGTTTTTCCCTACATCCATAATGTGTATATTATAGTTGCATTATAGTTTATAGTTGCTATAATAAATCAAATTTAGTTCAACATGTAAAATTACTGAAATGTAGATGATATGTAGTGCTTCAGAGAATACCACTCTTACTGAAACTGTAGAGATCGAAAATGAAAATATTGTTTTAGAATCCAGAGCAGCTGATAGCCAATATTTTTGGGCTGATTATTTTCCTCAAATATTGTAATTTAACTCTACTACAAATTCCCCAACAACTCATTTTACCATAGAACTATAAGAAAGCAGTGTTGTCTTGATGTGTACAGTCTTTTTGGATTTAAGTGTTCAAATAAAGCTTTGTGTGGACTTTTTTGGCATCAGCTTGTGTTGGAGATTTAAGTATGATAGGCAATATAGGCAAATATTTCCCTTTTTAGCACATTGGTCTGTTTCTTCTGTGGAGTCACAAAAACGTGCTCATTGCTGTTACGGATCACTCACATTGGCCCCATCACAAATAAATGGGCCATCATTGAGGCTGCTGTTCTTTGTTGTCCTGTGCAAATATCATAACAAAGCTTCAGATGATATTCTGATTGTCCAGCGGGTTTCCCCAGTGCTGGACACGCCTACCCTGTCACCAACATGGCTCCTGGAGATTGCCTTTGATATAATGGGCCCTATCTTGCGCCTGATTTTAGCATAAGTGTGGGGCGTGAAGCTCTAAACAAGAGGCGTGCCTTGACTGAATATCAGGTGAAGTGGAGCAGACTGAGGGTATGGTGTGGCACGTTTAGTGAATTGCCAGAATCGTAAAATAAATATCAAACGAGTCCACTGAAAAACAACAGGCAACATGTTAAAAACTTTATTTGGAAATATATTAGGATGGTAAATGATTAACATTCATAACATGTTCATGTGCCGGGCGGGATGTTTGTGCGCCGTCCGGATGCCCTCCCGTAGCCCCTCGCCCGCTCCCTGTATTGGCTCAGCTCTGCTCTATAGTTTGTTTTGATCTGGATCTGTACAGAAGCTGCTCATTCACATGAGGCCATTTAAAGCTACATCCTAAAAAGTGTTTTCTTACCCTGTCTGCTGTCCCAATGCTGCCATGTCAAATTTGCTCACAACCCAGTACCCTTTATGTCATCATCTTAATTTAATGTCGTAGCCAAATTATACCTGTTGTGGTTATTTTATAAAGTTAGTTGTAGGTAGACTACCAGTTTGGGGCTGTGACAGCAGAGCAGAACAGATGCATGTCTTGTATGTGCTGCTCTCTTGGCAGCAGCGGTCAGTAGAGCTTGAGAGATGTTTAATGCACATAAGTACTGCCCTGTACTGACACCTGCACTTCCTACTCTGTGCGCTCATGGTGCATATCAGTCACTTGTTCAGGGCAAATGCAGGTTATGCAGTCACCCTCCCCGTATGTCCATGTCCGTGCACAAAGCAGCTATCAGAAACATTTAGATGACAACAAACGTATTCCATAATCCGCGAGACATCTACCTGTGTGGGACCAAATACAGTGGACACCCTTGAGACAAGAATGTGAGCGGTCAGCGCGTACCTCCGGTGAGTCCATGGTAGTGGACTGCCAGGACAGGCGAGAGGGGGTGCCACGAGGGGTAGAGCAGCGGTTAGCGGGTCTGCTGTGGGATGTGAAGGCAGGAGATGGGAGGAAAATTTAACAAAGGAACACAGAGAAAACGAAAAAGGTTGACGTGTGTACGCATGCATTGGCTTACAGGGGTGCTCGTGTGTGAGAGTGTTTTTAACACAAATGGAGCCAGTTCTGTCATGACCCGCTCAAATTCTATATTCTTGGTGCCCTTACTGGTGTGTACTTGCATCATGGAGCTCCGTAGCTGTTTTATTTTACTTTATTGTTTTTAACTTTTCCCCACACCCCTCTCTGCTGCCTGTAATGAGGCAAAGACTGCAGACATTACCCACACTGGCAGTGATTTGAAATGCTACAGTGGTCACAGATTGGTTGAGATGTCATCACTGTATATGTACTTGTACCCTCCCACTCCAACCTCCAGTAGGGAAGTACAGCCCGACCTGGACACACCCCCTTGTTAGCACTAGCGCTAAGACCAGGGGGCGAGATAGGGCCCAGTGTGTGTGGTGCACCTGTCTCGTGATCTGCTGGTCACATGGTTGTGTTGGTTCATGCTGAATGTGGTTATATAGAAAACATGACTTTGGCCTTTTGTTGCTGTAATTTCTTCACTTGGTCTGTCTGGTGTCGGTGATGTAGTCTAATCTTTGTGTCAAATTTCCAAACACATACTGAGTTTTATGTGTGCACATTTTTAATAGTTGCAAGCACACATTCGGCTTTAGAGAAGAAAAGTATAATCTGTGTGGAACAAAGATTTGTGCACATTCCTGAGAGAATATCATGGTCATAGCTGCAGCAAAACTGTAAAAAAAAACTCCAAGCCAAAGAAATGTTTGTGTTTATGTCAAAGCCTTTTATAGGATGGTGTCAATGCAGGATTCATCTCTTCAGGCGTAGGTCTAGTTTGTTCGTTGTAAACTACAATATTGATCTACAAGGCTTTAATACTAGAAATGGGATAGACTGACTTCCTGTTGAACTGAGAATTCCAATCGCTTTATAGAGGCATTTCTCTGAATCAGGCAACAGATTTTCAGTTACACGTTTTTTATTTCTGGAAAAGGTTGCACTTCCATTTATGACCCAGTGTGTTATTATTTTTATCGGTTTTATTCAGCTTCAGTATCACCCAGTATTGATATTGATTTGTTGACATGACTATCAGCCTTTTTGAACAGAACAGTGTCACAATGGAAATGGAGGTTTGTTATATGGCTGTGTATGTTTACGCAAACTTTTTTTTAAGCCAGTGTCTTGAAAAATGATGAACTTGTGCTAAGATGGCATGAGCTGTTGATGAAATATAGATAAGTGTCTCTGAGAGGCTCAGCAGTGGTTTCCAGAGCATCCTGTGATCCAAGTGCATTAGTGCTGCCTGTGCTGTGTAATACCAGCACAGACGCTCTGATCCTACTGCTCTCTCATGACACTGCAGAGCCAAACAAACCTGAGCACCTTTATGTGAGCTCTCATTCATTGTGTTTAATGTCTCCAAATGCTCCATCATGTCTTGTGACACTGAACACATACTTTCCCTTTTACATACTGTCGTCATGGTTACTGCTTTGCCCAAACTGTCAAACACTGATCTCAAACCTGATGCTTATCAGTTTTCTGTCTCTTTTCCAGAGGTCCCCACATTTCAGGAGAAGACGAAAGCCTTATTTGGAAATCTTATGGACGAAGGTGCGTATGTTCTTGTATTCATATTCATATTTGGGCTCTTGGGTGTTTAAGTTCTGTTTGTAACGTGTTCACACACTCAAATGAAAATTGGCACAAGTCTCGTCTCATGCATCCAAAATTCTCATTTCCCATGTGCAACTTTGTGCAACTTCTGCTGAGAAACTCATATCCGATACCCTTTGAAAGCACCATTACCTGGTCTGCAGGCAATAAACATGCTTTAGTTACAGTAAATCTGTATCTCTGATTTCATATATCTAAAGTTACATATTTTATTTGTGTTTTGGTAATGGACAATATTCATTGGAGGCAGCCAAACAATGCTGGCTATTTTGGTTTTGCGTGTGGACTGTGACCCTGGCCTTGGTCTTGCTCGAAGTCCTCGGCTAATTTTGTCTCACTGCTCCTAGCTTCGCTGTTAGCATGCTAGCCATAAGAACATCTAATAATAGCACTAGGAGGCATTATCTCTACCACAGCAGATGTGCTACTGTGCCAGGCACCAGATTCACTAATGATTCACTTCTAAATGAGGACCACACACACACACACACACGTACAATATATGTACTTGTTTTATTCATTTGAAGGTAAAAAAAAAAAAAAAAGGTTTGTTTACCACGTTAGCATTGTCGATATTATCTCAAGAAAGGTAGAATAGCTGTGTAACCTCTTGTTTGAGGTGTGGAGGACTGCTGCCTAATGAGCCAGTTTATTTGCAGTTATGACTAGCTGCTGTTGGTTTATCTACACATCTCTCTAAATGATGGTTTTGGCCTTGGCTTTGCTCCATCTCTAGCGGCTCTTGTCTGAGGAGGTCCTACACTGAGCAGACATCTTTCTCCAGCTCTCCTCCCACACACCACTGCTGCATCTGTCTGTCCCCTCTAGCCGTGTCCTCATTTGACATGTTCTCCTGCTCCGATTGGTTCCTCTGGCAGATGCGGAGCTCTGCTTGTTTGTGCTCTCCTTTGTAATGACTGCCCTCCAGATATTTTCCGCAGTCTTTAATAGTGTGTTCTGACCACCTTCATTGACCTACTTGTGTAACCATTCAAAGCCTCCACGCCATATTCAACCACAACCTGTTTACACAAGAAAATCCACAGATTCTGTTTTATCTGGAGGATGTAGGGCTGTACTTGGGTTTGTAAAAATAATCATTGTTTAAAATGAAATGTATAGATGTTCACAAGTTTTTCGGCTCTTGTTAATATTTTTATATATTTTTAAGTATCTGCCAATAACCGACATCAACCAATACTAGGGCAGAGACTGAAATATAATTTATTTCCTTTAAACGCAAACAGCACGAGGTAAAAATTAGCCAAAAGTGTTTTATATCTATAGAACAGCTTTGTAAACAATTCAAATTTAATATTATAAGGTGTTTTGGGTCAACACTGGGTAGTTAATCGTCTTATTACACCAGTTTATTTTCAGTTTATCGACTGAATCAGTATCTTGGAAGCCGATATCCAAACCACTAAAATTTTTTGCGCTTATGTCTCTTATCTCTGGAAATGCATCTAAAGCCAGTATTCCATAAGGAGGCATGCACAAGAACGCTGACAGAGTTCATTAGGGTTTAAGTTGTAGTTTTCGGTTACAGGATTCCCACATCACCTCCTAATGTAATTACACCTGCAGCAGGTCTTTGATCCTGAAGCTTATCTCTGGGACTGATCTACTCCTGACATTAAAGCTGAGATAGACGTGCTTGTTTGAAGTACAATGATTAGATCTTTTCATCCTGTTGTATGAAGAGGAACCAGTTATTTAAGACAAAACACACTTCTTATGACCCAATCTCTTCAAACTTAACTGATCTCTTCCTTGTCTTTTTTTAAATCAGAAATGAGTCGTCAGACCGCCACCGCGCTGCCCACAGGAACCTCCAAGTGCCCCCCCTCCCAGCGCGTGCAGACCCTGTCAGGCACCACTGCGTCCAACAGTGACCTGGCCAGTCTGTTCGAGTGCCCTGTGTGCTTTGACTATGTCCTGCCCCCCATCCTGCAGTGCCAGTCCGGACACCTGGTATGTACCCCTCAAACTAGCGCCTACTTCTCGAAAGTATTCTAAATGTGTATATATATATATATATATAACTTCATATTTTTTGTTTTAGTCTTAAATGTGTGTTCTCTTGCCAGGTGTGCTCCAACTGCAGGCCCAAGCTCACCTGCTGCCCCACCTGCAGAGGACCCCTGGGCTCCATCAGGAATCTGGCAATGGAGAAGGTGGCAAACTCTGTGCTCTTTCCCTGCAAGTATGCGTCATCGGGCTGCGAAGTCACTCTGCCCCACACCGACAAAACGGAGCACGAAGAGCTGTGCGAGTTCAGGCCCTACTCCTGCCCCTGTCCTGGAGCCTCCTGCAAATGGCAGGGCTCACTGGACGCAGTGATGCCCCACCTGATGCACCAGCACAAGTCCATCACCACACTGCAGGTCAGTCTACACATGTCCATCACCACACTGCAGCTCAGCCTCTAGACAAGTGCATCTCATATTAATTTAACCTTGTCCCTATGTTTCAGGGGGAGGACATAGTGTTCCTGGCCACAGACATAAACCTTCCTGGGGCAGTGGACTGGGTCATGATGCAGTCGTGCTTCGGCTTCCACTTCATGCTGGTGCTGGAGAAACAAGAGAAGTATGATGGGCACCAGCAGTTCTTTGCCATTGTGCAGCTCATTGGGACTCGGAAGCAGGCGGAGAACTTTGCGTACCGCCTGGAGCTGAATGGGCACCGGCGCAGACTCACCTGGGAAGCCACGCCACGCTCCATCCACGAGGGCATCGCCACGGCCATCATGAACAGCGACTGCCTCGTGTTTGACACATCCATCGCACAGCTTTTTGCAGAGAATGGTAACCTGGGCATCAACGTCACCATCTCCATGTGCTAAGGACTCAGCCCACCAGGGGGACGCGTTACTGACCGCTGGAGGCCCCAGGCCTCGCAGCGCTCTGCCTCTGAGACAGACTCATGTGGGACTGGACTGTCTGTGGGCAGCCCGAGCCCAGGGCCTGCTGGGATGAATGAATGTGTGGATGGAAGGATGAGTGGACAAACAGAACTGTAGTGACGGCTCTAGACTTGTCAAATCCACATCTGTGAGACCGCGGTCCACACACAAACTGAATCGGCGCTCAGTCGGACTCCTGCCGCTGCCTCTGAGCGGCCTGTGCTTTGCTTTTCCATGTCTCTTCAACTTGCTCCTCTCGGCCACACCGCTGTGGGTCACCACTCCCCCAGCCAAGGCTGTTAAACAGAATCCTACTCGCCACTAGTTAGCCAAGTAGCTAACTTGTGATCCATCCTTTTGCTTGTAGTTCTCAGTACCTCCTGAATCCAATGGTTCACAACACTTTAGGGCTGCCTTCTGTTGGAGCACACTTCCCTCACTGCATTGGCTCACTGGTTCCAAAGTGTGAGGCTCATGAGGCTGAGGCGTTGAACCCTCACTTCACATTTATGCCTCTAGACCTGCACCCACCTGCGTCAGGACCGCCAATATGAAGGAACGGCCAGGCTCGTGTGAATATTTTCTGTGGCATCATAGTCCATTGTTGAGTGGACCTGACCTCCATCTCCAGTCTGTCCTCTCTCTGCTCACACACTGGGTCTTCTGCCTCTGCCACCGTCTAAAACAAGTGCACTCCTTCCCCTGAAGATTGAACGTGAAATGAGTTTGTCAGGACCTTAGAGAAGGAGGAAAACACCTGCAGTTTAGTTCAAACCTTTCCTTTGTGGTTTGCTTCTGTCACTGTTCCTTTCTTTTAGTTGTCTTTTGTATGGGAAGAGCCTCTGCGTGTTCTGTATACATGCGTATGTGTGAACTGGACACTTTGCTAATGTTTTTCTTTTCTGCGTCTCTTCTGCCGGTGTTGGCCTCAACCACTGACTGACTGATCACCCAACCAGGAATGAGGGACAAGTTGTACCATTACAATGTTGCTATTGTTATTAAATGGAAAAGTTATCATAATTATAATTTTTGTAATAACTTTTAAAAACAAAAAATAAAAGGCAGTTGTAAAACTTGTTGCTAAACTTCAATGTTTGTAGTTAAAAAGCAAGTTGTGTCGTTCTGAAGGTTTTGTTTTCTGATTGTGTTCCTCTTTGTCTATCCATTTGTGTGCGAAGTTTGTCAGTGAGGAGGCAGAGGGTCTAGATCAGCTCTCCTCACTCCTCATGTCACAACGCTACTTCACCTCTGACTTTCTTCTGTTTTAATTTTGTCATCAAATAAATCTATCTTTTTCATAGCCAGTGTCTTCTCTTTATTTCATCAGTAAGTTCAGTAACCAGAGAAAGGCACCCTTCATATTTTTATACGTCTGTTAAGTTATTTGTATGATTAATGGAGCCTTTGGTTTACTGTTTTCAACATTTGTGAAGTTGTAGATAACTGAAATAAGCTGCAGTAGGTGCCCAAGTACAGGCCTGAGTGGTCATATACAGGAGCACAGTGTGCAGTGGACCACTCCTAAAGCATGATGTCATACCAACCATTTATGTGGGTGTGCTCTGCCACGTGTTCTGGGCCAGATGCCAGCCTTTGGGTAATTATGTGAGCTACTTGTCTGAGAGCACTGACGCGATGAGGGGCAGTAGAGCCACGCTGACGGGCCTTGTAAAGGTCTCGTATTGTAGACTGAGCTCCAACACGCGGGGTGTGTCCGAAATACACTTGAACATGGGACCTCACTGCATTTGGATGTGACTGCTTTAACATCCAGCTGTCCGCAGCACCAAAGCCCACACAGAACTACAGGGGCCGAGCTGCACGGGCACCCTGTGACCCAAGACAATAGTGACCCCTAGAGGTGAAACGCGGCATTCTTTAGTTCAAACGTGAAAGGGGGAGTTATTCCACAGTCTATGTTGTCTACATGAGAGAAAGTAATTATATTTTTTATAACCACCCAAATGTACATTTGGCAAGTGCACTGGATCTGCTCATACAGTAGAGAAGGTCTGTGAACAATACTCTCATGGAATGCTCTTGCACTTGACCCCTGCCAGCAGTTAAAAGAACAAAGGGGCACAATGTAAATTAAAAGCATATTACAAGAGCCTGTAAATGTAAAATTCAACTTAAAGGTGAGATACAGATGTTGGCCCATAAACCATCCCTACTGCAGCTCTGAGAGAGGTGAAGGTGCAGACAGTAGCCTACTTAAAGACATAAGATCATAGTGAACATGACCACATCAAGGTCAGTATCACTTGGAGTCCGAAGAAGGATTGTGCTTCGTGACTTCAGCTTAGAGCACAGGTGTCAAACATACAGCCCGGGGGCCAGATCCGGCCCTCCAAGACCTTTAATCTGGCCCTCGGCTGATTTTCTACTAAAATATTTTAATTATATTTTCTATTAAAATCTTGTTAATTTTCTGCAGTGCTGATCATAGCACAGCATCTCTGTGCGTGGCCCCTCCCACCAGAGCAGCACAAATGAAGACTTGTCTCTTTCCAAACGCTCTTAAAGGACGGTCGTTTTGACTGTTGACCGTGACACCCTCATCAACAAAATGTCCAACATGAGAAAAGTGGAGCCAAGTGCAGGATTTTCCAAGAAAAATGTACTTATTCCTATTTACATACAAGTTCATGTTAAAACATTGTGTTGAAATTGCTTTTTTTTTTTAAGTTTCAGGTTGTTCATAATATTATAATATTTTGTAAAAGAAAGAGTTCATCAATTAAAAGATTTCTGTAATAGATTTGTGTTTCTCTACACAAATATTTGAACTTATTGTTATTTTTGGGGTTTATATGACATGAGTTTTCTGATCTGGCCCCTTTGGAATCAAAGTAGGTTGGATATGGCCCCCGGACCAAAATGAGTTTGACACACCTGGCTTAGAGTATATGCTCAAACCAAAAACAGATGGGACAAAAGCCCATGTGTTGGTGTGAATTACTGGCTGAATAATTCAGGTTTGTCTGGATAAGATCAGGCTAAAATGAGTGATGCCAAAATCATCTCCTTCAAATCAAAGAAACTAAAAAGACTAGTGTACATGTTACCCAGCTGGTGCTGCAGGATCAGACTCCTCCAACAACTCAGAGGCCAGTGAGACCATAGATCTATAATCATGAGTGAGACCTAAAGCGAACCCTCAGGAGACAGATGAATCGAGTGTTGCAAAAGTAAAAATTAGCTTATTGAGCACATAATGAACAATGAAGCACCAATAAAGAGACTATCTGGACATGTTTTTGATATGTTCATCATGTGAACAACAGTCATAGCTGGGAGCAGCCTGACTACCATCTACACCAGTAACAAGCAACAATGTGGCCAGAAGGCAGAACCCATTCATTCTTTCATCAGAACACGAAGAACCATGTTTTGTATAGATACAGCTGACATATTTATGTAATTTTTCCAATTTGTACATGATACAGGCATGTCCAGTGATGTGCAAGGGCTTCTCCTTCTTCTGGTCATTCAGAAGCCCAGGCACTACTTTAAGTTTAATCATGATTAGCCATCCATAAGTGTTGGTGCTCTCAAACACTAAGGTGACTGACACTATTACAAGTGGTGGGTGCATGTTCAGTGTGTATTTTCTTCATTTAATTTGTTTGATTTAAGAGGCTTCTATGTATTGTGCAGTGTTTTCTGCTCCTCTCTATTGATCTTTTCATGCCTGTCTAAATATGACAGAATACATACTGCACGCTGGTGTTTCATATTAGAACGCTGTGGGAGAAAAGTTACATCTGCTCAAATCCAGTTTTCCTTTGGATGAAGTCAGCCAAATGCATTTAAATATTGACAGGAACATAGGTACATAAAATAAGGCAATATAGGTCTTATATTACCATATTTTTTATTATTAAATTATCACAGTCTTACAAATATTAAATGACCTACTACTTGATAATTAGGTTACACTGACACACAGTATAGCCCTTATTAAGTTGGCACAGTTTTGAATTAAGAAGTACTACAAAAGCATCATGTTCACATTTAGGCATTGTTGATAAAGATTGGGGTTACAGTTTCATGTGATTTTCTGAGTGAAAATAAGAATTATGCAAATTTTGTATTGTTAATCTGTTCATCTACCTGGCATTTTTTGTTAAAATTATAGGTCGTTATTAAAGTGTCTAAAGATTGTAGCTTATTGCACACTGATCATATATATGAATACATTATACTTTCCTCAAAAGTTAGAGTTTGCTGAGTATCGGGGGTTGAGGACATGCACTGGTTGTCCCTGGAAAGCCTCCATCAAAGGCGCTGTTGAGCACCTGGTCGAGGCTGGAGACCATGATGAAGTCCAGATCCGCTCGCACGTTAGCTGGGAGATCCTCCAGGTCCTTCTCATTGCGCTTCGGCAGAATGACACACTTGACTCCGGCACGGTGAGCTGCCAACACCTTGTCTTTGATCCCACCCACCTGAGGAAGCAGAGGACACACAGTATTGGTTTAAGAGCAGTGAGGATTCAGAGTATTGTTCTAACAGCAGTGAGGAGAATGAGTATTGGTGTAACAGAGGTAGACACATGAGGCTCAAAGTTAGCGTGCAGGGAAACCCACCGGCAGCACCTGCCCTCGCAAGGTGATCTCTCCACTCATAGCCACATCTGAGCGCACCAGTCTCCCGCTGAATAGAGATGCCAGGCACGTCACTATGGTAACGCCTGCTGAAGGGCCGTCTTTCGTGACCGCTCCAGCAGGAAAGTGGAGGTGGATGTCTGAGCCTTCCAGTGGATCTGGAGCCCCTACAACTGTTCATAAGAGCATTTAACATCAGGCATATTCAAACTGAGGCCCATGGATGCTTAATTTATGAATAATTTCATGCAGCACTTCATTGCCAAGATATCATAAAAGACATGTTTTATGGTTGGCATTATGTTTTACACTGTTGCAACCTTATCCATTTATCTAGGATTAGGAACTAAGCAAGAGCCCTACTGTGTAACTTTTTCAGCCCAAACAATTTGACTAAAATAAAAGCATCTTTCTAAATTTTATTGTACTGAAGAAACATGTGTCCTTAATTCAAGTGGACTTCTCCAAAAAACTGACTCTTATTTGGTCCAGAGAAGGACCTTGTTCTGCTTGTTCCCATGGAAATGTTGTTCCTTTGGTTATAATATTTCACAGTATGACAAAACTCATCTATCTATGTATTCCCAAGTATGGCTTTATCTTTTTATTTCCATGGAATCATGCAGATTTCCTTCACCAGAAAGTTACAATACTGCTTTAACAACCACGAAACTGCAGTTATCTGATTATTCAAGTTATATAAATGTAGGTACTGATACAGTGGCATCAGAAGCCAACAGTATTCTGTAACTTACTATTAGTGAGCTGGTAGGTCTTAGCATTGGCCCGTAGCCAGCTGATGGCGAGGTGCGCAGACTCCTTCATGACGTCCCCCAGCTGACCAGTGAGAGTGAGCTGCCCCTCCCCTTCAGTCCGACTGGCCTCCACAAACATGATCTCCCCACCCAGAGGAGTCCAGGCCAGGCCCAAGGCTACACCTGGCAGAGTGAGGCGCTCTGACACCTAACCACACACAATGTCAGACATCCGTGAGACCAAAAGGACTTCACACAATGGCACAAGTCACAAGAGAGTAAATAATAATTGAAAAATAAAGATATGACCATAGCAAAGAAGAGGTGAGAGACAAATTTCCGTAATTGAAAGATGTGTCTGTATTCATCTAACTCAGATGTAGTGTTATAACACACTTTCCATTGTTGTGGTGCAGACGTTTACCTCCATGTCAAATACAGGAGGGCCCATGATGTCTCTGAGGGCAGCATGGTCTATCACTATGGGCATGTCAGGAGGAGCTTCCTTAGCTGAAAATAAACACTCAATTATTCATCTTTACCCAGCTCATATAATACTGACTATTATTGGTTAAAAAAAAATGGCGTATTGCACAATCTCTCTCTCATCAATTATTCTCAGAACAAGAATAATTCTGCAAAACTGCGATAGCACAACTTAAGACACATTTTGTGATCTATTCCGCTAAATTTATTATATTGCTAGTAATATAAAATAGCCTCTGTTTTTGTAGGCTGCATATTACATTTATTAAGTGGAACTGAGCACATTGCAGCCAGCTTGAACAAAAGAATAAAGAAATGCATAGCAAATTGAAAAAAGATGAATACAGAGAATGCGTAGAAATCAATCTTCAATCAATTCTTATTTATTTGGCTGTTCTTAAACTCATCAAATGCATGGCTGAGGGGCTGCCAATCTGCACCATCAGTGC